GGCCGCTCGCTCCGCCGGGGTCCCGCCGACGCACTTGCGCCCTGAGCTCGGCGGCCGCGGGTGCGAGCACGCTCGGACGCCGGGGAACCCTCTCCCCAAGGTCCGCCCTGCGGCGGTGGCACCGCGCGTCTTCAGACTCTGACCCGGTCAGCTCCAAGAGGTCCCGTTGTGATTCCTTCATCACAACTCCCCGCACCCGTCTCCTCGACTCTAAAGTGGCGCCAGTCACCTGCACATGGCAGGCTCGCTCATTCATTCATCCAAAAAAGACTGAGGGTGTTGCTGTAACGGGTGAGGTGTAGTGACCGTTAATCTCTCAAAAGAGTTGGAGAATAAGGATTAATGGGAAGTCAAATAGCTGTGTGGGTGAAGTCACTTCAACAGCTGTCCTGAGGCAATGCCGTGGTAGTTACTGTTATAAGAAACTGAAAAACGCTGGGGTGGATGAGACACACGTGCTTCCTGCATTGTAACTGAACAGCAGTGGACTGACCGCTCGGTGTTACACACAAGGTAGTCTGGAGAGTACAGAAAAGCTAACAAAGGAGTGTTTTTAGCCAAGCGTACACAGCACGTGCAGACTTGGAAGTCAGAGTATTCCTGGGACAGGCTTTATAAGTGTTCAAGGTGTCAGATTTTCTTACTGTTTTAGGAGAGGAATCCTTGCAAGTCCAGCAGGAAGAGAGAATGGAGATAAGAGGAATAATTATGAGGGGGCAAAGTGGACAGGATGATATCAAAGAAGAATCTTGCTGTATGAACCCCTTTGGGAGGAAGAATCTAGCCCTAAAGATTCAGAAACTGTCAGCACACAAAGAATGGAATAATTTATGAAGAATCAGCAAGAGCGACAGACTAGCACTATCTTATAGATAGAACTGGTCCACTATTGTGCTTTTAATATTAAGATCGTTATTCTCACTTTAATTTTTTTAGATTTATGTGTATGACTGTTTTTCCTTCAGGTACGCAAATGCACCACATGTGTGCCTCTTGTCTAGAGGTCAGAAGGAGGCATGAGGTCTAGATCTGGAATTACAGATTGTTGTGAACTACTACGTGAGTGCTAGGAATGGAAACGTAAGAGCAACAAGTGCTCTTAACTGCCCCTTCTCACTATTTCTTAGAAAATTACATATGAAAATGGGCTTTGGGGAAACTCCAGTGTATAGGTCTGCTTCCCTGTGTGTTTGAGTTGGTTAAATGGAAAACACGTATTTTTAGAATTTGAACTCTCCAGTTCAACACAACGCTTTCTAATACTTTAGACTCAGCTCATAACATTCATTTTTGTTGTGTTTTGAGAAAGGACCTCACTATGAGGCCCTGACTGGCGTGGAATTCAGTATGTAGACCATGATGGCCTCAAACTCACAGATATGCTTGCCCTTGCCTCCCTAGTGCAGGAATGAAAGGCATGTACTGTCGTGTCTGGCCATAGCTTGCATTTTTGGATAATTGCCTAGTGCAAAGTCTGAAGCTCCTGTGCTTAAAGCATCCAAGTGGAAGCAACAGTGTTTATCCCTGCAGAAGTATCTGTTTATACACTTGAGTACAAAAAAATCCGGAAAGGACTGAATTGCAGCTTGAGAAAGGTGGAAAACCAGATAAGTATTGCCTTGAGAGAAGAGTGTTTCTAAAGACCAGCGCTGTGCTGTTTCAGGTGGCTCAATCCCAGAAACCCACAGAAATGCCAAGTGGATATGATTGGTAGCCCTCCAAAAGGCAGAGATAGGATTCCCAGAGTGAGTAGCAAGACTAGCCTTATCAACAAGCTCTGGGTTTGATTAAGACACCCTATCTCAGTGAATAAGGTGGAAGAGAGTTGGAGTATGATTCCTGACATGAACAGGTGTGCCTCCACACATGAGAAGAAAAATATTCACAGTGGGGTCAGGGGACACAAGTGCTGTTCAACTGTGCCATATGGCCAAGCTAGACAAGGGGAATGGTTTAAGAGATGCACTTTGTGTCTTGAACATTTTGTGAAAGAAAGACCTTAGTAATAGCAGATTTGGTGGAGTTACTAATGGAGAGAGGTCCTAAGATATCTATATTCAAGTAGATTAAATAATAACTAGTAATATTTTAATAATTGTAAGGAGCCATTGTAATGGTGCATGCCTTTGATCCCAGCACTTAGGAGGCAGAAGCAGGCAGATCTCTGTGAGTTCCAAATCAGCCTGGTCTACAGAGTGAGTTCCAGGACAGCTAGGGCTATGCAGAGAAACCCTGTCTTGAAAAACCAAATATTACTTTACAGTTTCTGGGGAACAGCATCACTGACTTTAATCAAGGTGTCACTGTATTTCTATAAGATAGAGACATAAAACATGAGGGAGGGGGGGTTTATTTTGACTTACAGGTGGGGGAGGGGGTACAGTTAGGACTGGCCCTTTCCAAAGCTGAAGGAACATGAGCCTTCTGGTCAGCCTATAATCCTCAAAGGCCTCCTCCCTATGACCTGCCTGCAAAGTTTCCAATTTCCCCAAACAGTATCTGCCACCCAAGCAAGGACCAAGTGTTCAAACATACACCTTGGAAGGTTGTTGACAGCTAAACCATACCATTCAAGGCTCAACTGGGACAGGTTCTAGGTCACAAGAGATTCTTTACAGAATTCACATCCCCTATGCTCTCAGACTAAGTACCTGGTTCTTCCAAGGCTTCCCTCCATCTCAGGCTCTTACAAGACAGGATGGCTAGATCCCAACAGAGAAAGCAAGTGAAAAAGCACTAAAGAACAAAACATGTCAAAATCTTTTCTTAAAAGCTGTTTTAGTGAGCTGTCTTTAGTTATTTTCCTTCCTGCTCTAGGAGCTTCCCTGTTAAACAAGCTTACAGAGACCTTCCATTGTATGACTAGCTAATGTCTCCCTTGTGTTGAACATAATAGGAGGGTTTCTTAGTAGTTGGTGCCACTCCCATCAGTGTGCATGGCCCACCTCACCCTATCTCTTTGGTATGGGTGTGTGGGGGTGTGTGTGGGGGTGTGTGTGTGTGTGTGTGTGTGTGTGTTCATTCATTCATTCCTTTTCAGCCCCAAGGGTGACCTTGAACTTCTAATCCTGCCCTGTCCACCTTCCAGGTGACTTTGAAAGGCATGCACTATCGTTATGCTTGCATGTATGTATATTCACCCACATGCATGTCTGGTACCATGGAGGACAAAAGAGGACATTGGATATCCTGGAACTGAACTTACAAATGCAGTGATGAGAACAAAACCATGTCCCCTAGAAAAGCATTAAGTACTCTTATATGCTGAGCCATCTCTCTAGCCCTGAAGGGGAATACTTTTAATGTAGTTAAGGTAATATAACGTCTAGGTTTTACATACACAATCATGTCTAATTGCTATGTCTTATAATACTTTAAAAAGAGAAAGGTAACTTTACTCACCAGTGTATTTTCATAGCTACTTTTTTCATTCTGATTCACTATATAATTTTTTGTCTTTAATAATATTTCTACTTTGGTTGCTCTAAAAGTGTAGAAGCAAACTGTGATAAAAACTACTTATATTTGAACATGTAGGGTGTGTTAATCTCTTTCAATAAAGAAGCTGAAAATAAGTACCTGAGTTCTAAAAAAAAAAGAAAAGAAAAGAAAAGAAAGGCATGCACTATCATAACTGGTTTTATGAGGCACTAGCCATTGAACTTGGCCTCATGCCTGGTAGGCAAATGCTCTCATCTGTGATTTAAAGCATCTGAATGACTAGATACTTTTGCTGTCTTTCCTTGTAACAGAAAGTCCTGGGGACATTCTAAGTCCCTATATTCTTCTCCAGTTCTATTAATTTTGAATCTTAATATTGTAAATTTTGTTTTATTGTTTCATGTAGATAGTGTGCCTTCAAATTTCTTTTCAGATTCAGTTTGCTCATAATTTACCATTTTTGTTACTTTTCACTCAGTCTCAATTTGTATTTAAATTTGTATCACTTTCCTACTATTTCCAAATTCTTTTTAGTACTTCCTTTAAGACAGTGTTAATAGCTGGACATGGTGGCATGAATCTTTAATTTCAGCACTTGAAAGGCAAAGGCAGACAGATTTCTGTGAATTTGAGGCTAGTCTGGTCTGCATAGTAAGTTTCAGGCCAGCCAGGGATCCACGATGAGACATTGTCTTTAAAAAAAAAAAAAAAAAAACTGACACAAATTTTTACTTTTTTTTTTTTTCTGAAAAGGTTTTATAAGTCTATGGCTGAGCGTTGGTGGCACATGCCTTTAATCCCAGCACTCGGGAGGCAGAGGCAGGCAGATC